ATACATATANATATATATTATATANATATATAATAATATATATATATATCTATATATATATATAGCCATGTATGTTCAAATCGCTATATCTATTATTAATATCTAGATGGATCATAAGTCTGGATACACTGATAGCTAAATCTTTGCATAAATATGCATGCACACAATGATACTGACCAATCACTATATCATTATCATGATGAAGTTTGACTATAGTACACTAGTATGTGTTTATTCAAGGACGGTTATGGTATATGATTCGAGGAATGAACAACTCGAGGACATGCAGTCTAGTAGTACACTACATGCGACCGCTTGTGTCTCCCACCCGCTTTGTGTAGTAAAGAAGTGACCACTTGCCACGAATGTCGCATATAACGTACGCGTGCAAGGTATATCATTGCCGAGCCAGATTCTCCAGCTCGTGTACATGACTTCTTAGCGTGTGGCCTATAATTTGGTTGCTTCTATATTGGTTAATTCTACGTATACTAGATTTGGTGTCACTGATAAATGCTGGCATTTGTGTTTATTCTAAAGGTATTCGGTAGACTCGGGCGTACTGAGATATAACTAGGACGGTGTACCGTTGACCATACATGCTCTTATCTTCCTCCAAACCCCAAGCTATCCTTCCTACTATATTTACTTACTACAATCCCTCTGCAAACCCCAAGTTATCCTTCCTTCTTTATATACTTGCGACAACCGCTCTATATACCCTATATCTCATTGATAAACTCTCGCTTTTGATCATCTGTGGTATACGGTGTAGGTCCCTCGCATATACACAGGGGACATGGACTCTGATGTAGCCCAGGCCATGCTGAACTGCGACCCCGACGGACCACTGATGATCTGTGTAGCCAAGTTATATCCCTCGATTGTACGTCTAGTGTACTGTTGTAACCAGTCTTGTGAACCGTACCATTCCGACTGCTTGGGATTGTACTATTTGTTCCGTATTCGCTGCACGGCTTAGAATGTGGGTGTTCTGTAGATAGGTGTAGGAGTTCTGGCACTCTGAATGGTATTTCTATATAGATTTTCTGCTGTGTGTGAGACCCATTTGTCACGGATAGGTGTATCGCTTGCATAGTTGAATTGCTTTCGTTGCCTTCCCTTCCATTTCGGTATGACTTATGTCCCTCTAAATAGCATTTCTATACCTGTTGGATGTGTGACCTATTTGTTACGGACAGTTGTATCGCATGCATAGTTGAACTGCTTCCGTTGTCTTCCATTCCATTTCGGTATGACTTCTGTCCCTCTGAATGGCATTTCTATACCTGTTGTATGTGTGACCCGTTTGTTACAGATAGTTGTATCGCTTGCATAGTTGAATTGCTTCCGTTGTCTTCCATTCCATTTCGGTATGACTTCTGTCCCTTTGAATGACATTTTTTATACCTGTTGTATGTGTGACCTATTTGTTACGGATAGTTGTATCGCTTGCATAGTTGAATTGCTTCCGTTGTCTCCTGTCCCCATTGTGTGGTGGCTACCATTTCGGAGAACGTTGCTGGTCTGTATTCATTTACATTGTGACTGTCGATTACTGAACGCGTTCATTCTGTATTCGCTGAATGTTGTTCCTCTTGTTGTGCTTTCTCCAGGCAGTGTATCGTAGGTCGTTTGTTCATGTAGGTACTTTTCGGTTTTTAGGGTTTAGAGGTTTGACCTCGTGTTGTGTGGAGGTCTCTATGATTGCTAGTACTTTTGTTGGATGTGTCTGTATTCAAATGGGTGTATCTTTTTACCGGCATTGTGTAAATCTTTTAGTATCCTTATTCCTTCCCCATTGTTTTCTTGTCTGAACACAATAACTATTACCTGGTCTATTTATAGGACGCTAAGTCGTTCTTTGCCTTTGGACGGGTGATGAGTGGGTCGGTGGAGAAAGGGCAGACAGTGAAGGTGTTGGGTGAGAACTACACCTTAGACGATGACGAGGACATGAAGATGGAGCTGTGCGAGCACCTGTACATCAACGAGTCAAGGTATATATATATAGATATATATATATATTATTATATTGTTATATTATTATATTACTATACTATATTATATATATATATTTATATACTTCTTGGGAGTAGTATATTTGCCGTTATGCTCGTTTTCAAGACTCACACGCTGGTTGGCGGTAATTCGGGAGGTTTGCAGATACTCGATACCGCCAACATATCTACGTGGTATTGATTGATTAAGTGTTTTAACCTGTACACACGCTTTCAATTGCATGCGAATATCTCTCTCCAGCATGCAGTGGATATGCGGGCGTAACTATGACCATGACCGTGCCATTTCATTCAAACTACACTACACTATCCTACACTGCAATCTACAGACGGACAAGAACTCGCAGACGACAGAGTGCGTATATGTGTATACCTACACCTACTCACGACCACCATCACCACACACACATATTGCAGATACAAGTTAGAAGTGACTCGCATGCAGGCGGGTAACTGGGTACTGCTAGGTGGGGTGGATAGCTCAATCATCAAAGCAGCCACCATCACAGACGAAGTGACTGAGGACGCGTGCATCTTCCGACCCGCACAGTTCAACAGCAGCGCCGTGCTCAAAGTGTCGGTGGAACCAGTCAACCCCACGGAACTACCTAAAGTAAGTCTGCACGCTACAGTCAACCGATCGTATGTGTAGGCAAATGAAGGAATTCATATGTATGTATATATATATATATATAATGATTTAGTGTTGTGGATAATTTAATAGCTGTGCTGTGCTGGAGGTTTCAGTAGAGCGTGTGAACCCTACGGAAATGTCTGTAGTGAGTCTCATTACATCTGGTTGTACGTGTATGTACGTGGAAGGCAGTGGATGCATGCACTTAGTGTGTGAACATATATAATACACAGTAGTAGGGATGGGCCTGAAAGTCTTGGCGGATCTTGTCAGTCCCACGGAACTACCTCAGATAAGCCAGAAGCATCGACTGATTCGATCGCCCCATTCCCTGTTGCTTAAACTCATACACAGATGTTGGAGAGTCTGCGAAGTGTGAACAAGACATATCCCATGCTGGAGACCAGGGCTGAGGAATCCGGAGAGCACATCATCTACGGCACCGGCGAGCTCTACGTGGACTGTGTCATGCACGACCTACGCAATGTGTTTGCGGATATGCTGATCAAGGTACGTTCTGTGGCATCTCCACGGTGTGAATACACAAGGACATGGATGTTGGTCTGCGTACTTGTAGGTTATAGCTATGTAGGTGTGAATGTACAAGGACACGGGAGTTGGTCTGTGTACTTGTAGGTTATAGCTATGTAGGTGTGTATGTAGACTACGTGTGTATGTACAGTCGCCGAGGGTGTGTTGCAGCCTTCGTGTGTGTGCGAACGGGCGCGCATCATGTGGCATGTGTTGTGCTTCATATACCCGGAGGTAGGTATTGGTAGGTTAAGTTAACTGGACCAGTAGGGTTGTGCGATTGCCTGTACCCTGATATGCGGATTCGAGTCTGCTAAAGCTTCTACTGGGACTGTTCGGTATATGTGTGTGTGATACGTTTGTCACATGCGACGAAGCGCGAATTGTGGATTGAGATGGTCACGTGTCTTATTCTCCGTTCATCTGATTGGTCTACAGTACAAATCTATAAATATATATTTTCGATGTAGGTATCGGACCCTGTGGCAGCCTTCCGGGAGACTGTGGTGGAGACTTCGTCTATCAAGTGCTTTGCGGAAACACCCAACCAGAAGAACAAGCTCACCATGATCTCCGAACCACTGGAGAAGGGTATCGCAGAAGACATTGAAGCCGAGGCGGTGAAGATTGACATGACCAAGAAGCAAATAGGTATGCATGCATGCATCGTGATGCGTATGTCGTGGTATGCATGTGTGTTTGTATATGAAGTTGGCTTCCGTGCGCAAATCAATTTCACATGATAGGTGATCAAAAGATATACAACTATCTGTAGGAGTATGTAGCTATTATCTATAAGCATGTAGCTGTGTGTCACAATTAGTAGCCAGGCGTATGGCGAAATGAGATGCAACCTACAGTCTAGGTCTGAATTCAGTTATAAACAACACCTCGTATAGCTACCACATACAAACACCACCCTAAACACTTAGGACCACCATTCACACCCAACCCTCTCCTCACACCTCCATCCCCCACAGGCGATTTCTTCCAAAAGAAGTATGACTGGGATCTGCTGGCGGCACGGTCTGTATGGGCGTTTGGGCCGGATGTGGGGGGACCCAATGTGCTGGTAGACGATACCCTGCCGTCAGAAGTGGACAAGAAGAAGCTCAACAGCGTCAAGCACTCCATTGTCCAGGGCTTCCAGTGGGCTACGAGAGAAGGACCTCTGTGTGATGAACGTATGTGTGTGTGTATGTGATGGATATCTCTATGCATCTCTGGCGTCATAGTTAGGTTAGTGTCCTGTAGTCTTTATATACCCTGATATGCAATACCTTATACCTTGCCCTTTGTCTTGCCACAGCTATCCGCAATGTGAAGTTTAAGATCCTGGATGCCACTATTGCCGACCAACCCATTCACCGGGGAGGTGGTCAGATCATCCCCACCGCGCGAAGAGTGGCCTACTCCGCCTTCCTCATGGTAAGCTACCTGATGCTCTGGGCTTATTGTGATGTCGTCTCTGTTGCCACACCCGCTTCTTTTACAGATGTGTCTTTTTGGATTGGTGTAGTGCGCATGTCTATTTGGATTGGTATAGTGTGCAAGCTGGTGTCATATAGCGTTGATGTATATATATATATATATATATATATATCCGGTATGCAACCTGTGCTTTGGTTAGGCTTGTATACCTTTCAACCGAAAGAGTTATGTATAAGGGCGAGGGGCAGTATAATCCAAAATCAACTGTTCAATGCAGCGACACATCTCGACTATCCGGACTTTCTTTTATTTAAAAGCTACCCGACGTACAACCAACCCATATCTTGTTAAAAGCGGCCCCATTGGTTCTCATAGTTGTATTGCCAAGTACACCACTCAGCACGAATACGAATTGCATTTTATGTTCTGGTATGTGTAGGCCACCCCGCGGTTAATGGAGCCCTACTATTATGTGGAGGTCATCGCACCGGCTGATTGTGTGTCTGCCGTCTACACCGTGCTGGCGAGGCGAAGGTATGAACGTCCTGTCTTATGTACCAACATCCTCAACGCTTTACGTTTGGGAATACACTCTACGAACGTTTTGTTTTATATATCACAATTTGCATCGCGTACGAGTATACTTACGCTGAAGTATTTATCTGTAGATTTGTTATCTGTACGGACCACCGAAACTCATCAACTGTGTTTCATGCACGATTGAAACTCTCTCCGCAATAAAGTGTAGACACAGTCTCTTCTTTGACGGCGCACTGGTGAGAATCGAAAGTCACTAATATATGGAACCCGTTTACCTGACGCTTTGAGCATACATCACCATTACACAGCATAGATGCAAACCTAAGAAGTTAACTTGTGAGATGGTCCGATCGGTACAAATGATACTCACGCACATACAGATATATATATATGCCAAGGTATAGCTTCGCATGGTAATTTGTATACTTATATATATCATCACCAACATCCTACCTATTCATCCATTGCAGAGGGCACGTTGTGCAGGATGCCCCTAAACCAGGGTCACCCCTGTACATGATAAACGCCTACATCCCATGCATGGATTCGTTCGGCTTCGAAACCGATCTGCGAACATACACTCAGGGACAGGCCTTCTGTCTATCCGTATTCGACCACTGGCAGGTACGTATGGTGCATCGATTCGTTTCGGACTTTGTTGTGTTCAATCGTAACACATGGTTTGTTATCTGTTGTCTGGGGTGGCAGAGTCTCGAGTTAGAGTCTGGCAATTCTAGGGCTGTACAGTTACGTTTTATTACTAGCTACTGGCCAATTCGAAAGCGTTGGAGGTTTGCAGAAATCGTATCTTCTCCAGAAATACCAGCAAGTATCCGAAAGCGGCTTTTTTGCGCATAAAAGTTTGCTGTGGCTGTAGATGTACGGAAGTGGCCATTTGCAATATTTGGACCAATCCTTTTGGGCTTGTAACACTCGAGTGTATAGTCGTATTGCGTTCCTGAACGCATATACATCATAAACCAATTTTTTTGGGGAGGTTGGAAGGCGTTTGGAACTCTCGCATATATTCCAAATGGATCATGTTTTCAGGTTCAATTTAGTAGTTTCCCATCGCCGGCTGTTGTAGTAGGGATTTCTTCGTCGCTTTAATATTCACAGGATAGCCAGTGCATCTTCAAATCGCTCAGTAACCCGTGAGCTTGTTTTGTTTGTAGCTGCACGTGCCACACTTAGCAATCACAATATATATGCGAAGTCTGGTATAAACCCGTCTGCGCCGTTCGCAGTTGTTGTACACTGCTTTCTCTCTCATTCTACTTTCTTCTATGATCGCCCTACAGCTGGTGCCTGGAGATCCCCTTGATAAGAGTATACTAATCCGCCCGTTGGAGCCGCAGCCTGCGTCGGCCTTGGCGAGAGACTTCATGGTTAAAACGAGACGCAGAAAGGTAAGAAGAGTCATGCATTGTGTCGAAACTCGTGTCACAAGCGATTAACGCTTCCTGCACTTAGCAACACAAAGGTGTGACACCGAGCGTGGTTTTCTGGTAATAGCTAGCACTTTTATGGTTGATAAAGGTACTCCTACTTACATGATATATATCTGCTATCATATTAAACAGGGTCTCAGCGAGGATGTCAGTATCAACAAGTTCTTCGACGACCCGATGTTGTTGGAGTTGGCGAGACAAGATGTCATGTTAAATTACCAATAAACCCTCTAAGTCATGTGATCAATATTGCTTGTACACCCTGTATATATCGCTGTGACATGTTTTATTTGTAGGTTAAAATGTCTGTGTTTGTACAGACTTATACAAAATGGTTGCCTGCATTAGCGTATGACCACGAGACGACCGTAGAAAAGTAACGCACACCCCACTCAGACCATGACCCAGCAATACTCTGCCGTGGAACTTGAATGAAACACATATGGAAACAGTTTAACAACGCCTGGAACAGGCAAACCATTTGATGGTGCGCGTCGTTGTAGACGAAGAATGGACTGTGTGGGTCTCTTTCGAGCATTCTCTGGATGGTTTTTTTTTGGAAAAATATAGTCGTGGAATATTTTTATACGCGTCCTTATCAGTTTGCATCGGATTGGATGTTCGTGGTTTAAATTTAACACCAAATAATATAAAGAATACAACAGTCGCAAAGTCGGAGCACCTGTATTGTTTGTATTTAAAAATATATATATACATAAATGTATTCAAAACGAAGAAGAAGCGCAAAAGCCAAAAAGTCATGACCCTCTAGAGGAGAAATAAAATAATACGCACGATCGGACTATTGTCCGAAAAAAGTAGTAGCATTTAGAATCTCTTGACCTAAAGACCTTCGGATGTAATATAGTCCGATCAGCCATATTTTGTTCACTTCTATCTCTAAAGGGCAAGGCCAAATTTAAATATATAACACAATATAAAATATGTCGCAATTACTTTTAATATAGTTGTTAAAATAGAATGTTGAAATGTCGGGAATAATTCATAAATACATTACACTATCACAAAAATCATGACACGCCAGGTCCGAGAGTCAGAGGCAGTATCCACTTCTGTAAATTGTAAAACGAACCGGAAGCAGCAAGAAGTAATAGAACGCAACAAGAAAGCATGATACGAACATATTTACGTAAAGTTCATCCATGATACGAACATATTTACGTAGCTTTCATCCATGAGACGAAGGCTACGATTAAATACTTGCTAACGTTTCGTATAAATAGCCAGACCTTGTGCTCGCTCAATACTATTTCACAGACACAGAGATCGTGTGTCTACCTTTTTAATTGGTATATATCTCAAGATAGAATGGTTGCAGTACTTGACGGCAAATCCGAAGTCATTGACGCTGTCAATATGAAATCTGATACTAAGGTGTGTATCTATAGTAGACACACACCATCACTACACGGATTTATGTGCCGACTTACTTATGTGCGAAGATTTATGCGTTTCATTAGAAGTAGTGCGCAATGTACTGATTGGCGGCTATTGAGTATTACAAGTTAGCAAGGCCACTAAACAATTTACAAACACAAATACAAATGGTGATGTATGTATGAGATATATATATTCCCAAGCACTGCCTTTTCATGTGTATAGTGTACTGTTCATTTACCTTTGCGTTCGTGTGTAAAGGATGACTCGTCCATATCTCATAAATAGGATAAGAATTTCATCTGCATATTTTAGTACACGTACACACTTCCCAAAAAAAAAAAGTGGTTATTAGTTTGCGTTTCATTAAAATTCTACGCTGAATTTTTTTTCTCGTATACATAGTCCAGTGCATTTCTGTATAATGGTATGATTGTCAATCTACTGTACTCTTGCACGTACAAATTAAACATCATACTAGTTACTCGTTTATTCATATACATGCTTGAGAAAGTCCATTCAGTCCTACTCTGTGGCCTCACAAGTATCTTGTTACACAATGTTATTATATTTAGGCATATGTGTAGCTATATATCCTAGCTTCGTTATATACACGGTCAACTAAAGTACAGGACTCACTTATACTGCCACTTTAAACTCGGGAAGATGAATTCCAAGTTTGTGTTCTTAGTTGGACACACATGGTTAAATACACGAACACATCAATCAGATAGTTCGTTGATCATTTAATACTATGCTGATCGTCATAACGTATCTGTGTGCTGCTTACTATTGCATTTAAACTATACATATGTTTAGATACGGGATATGTAGATACTACAGTAACTAAATTGAAAAACTAGCTCAGATCTGGTGCAGATCTTGTAGCTTTGGCGCTCCAACACCGATTTCAATTGATTGCTTCAAACTTTGATGCAACGTGAATGATACGCAATTGTTTGCTTGGTCCTCAGTTAATGGAACGCGATACAATGGCAACCCAATGCGCTACCTGTCAGTTTCTACAATTTAAATTTGAAGCAGCGGTAGAAACTGGCTGAGGACTTTCGATGTGCTTATCTAAGACCATATCCCAATCGACAGCAACTGACAATAACTCTGGTTTCAAAATTTAAGTAGACAGCAAAGAAAGCTGCTGCGGATGCCAAACCCAAGAAGCCTATCTTAGCTCGTAAGCTAGTACCAACACTTACGAAGGAGTTCTGTGGCGGCGTTAAGCTACGCGAATACCCAGATGCTTCGGGCACAAATAACTGCGTAATGGGTATGATTGACGGATTGGTGTACAGCAGATAGACGATGCTTTTTGTGTGAATTTTGTGACACTAGAGACAAGAGGGATGTAAATTCGGTGTGCATCCTGATCTCTGTTCAGATTAAGTAATGTGTGAATGCTTTCCAACTAGGGTTTGTTCGGGTGTACTCATCGAGTAAATCATCGTAGTGGATATCGTGATACGCTTATAAACAAATATGAATACGGATATGGAGTTATGTGTATAAAATAAAAAATGGTCATACCTAACCGTAGTTCAATAGATAATATATATATATATACATGTATATTTATATATATGTATATATATATATACATATATTCATAATTAGATATCTATATCTATATCTATATATATATATAAGTACATATACATATGCACATATGCACATATTTCATATATATATATATATATATGTGTGTGTGTGTATGTATA